CCACCACCACCCCCATTTAGCAGAGATAAGTCATGTTCCTAAACATTGTGTGCCTAATCTTTCAGTCACCCTCTGTAGTTTTTAAGACACGTGAAATGCTACACAACAGCACACACACGATACACATAACAAATGTAAAAAGATAAAAAACATGCATTATAAGATGCACTCTAAAGATAAGTCTTTAAGTGACCTTTACAAATTTCGATAATAATCTGTTATGGGTTTGTTGGGTGGTGAGCTCTACAGATAATGGCACTACAGATGAGAAGTAATGTCCATCATTGTTCACCTGGCTGATCTTTGGCAGAGAAAGAAAAATTTATGATCAACCAGTAAGTCCTTAAGATAACCATGGCACTAAAGCATTCTGTGTCTTAGGTGGGAGCAGAAGAATCTTAAAGTCAGCTCTGAATTTTGCCAATATCCAGTGTAATCTACTGAGTATAGGGGTTATGTGCTTAAATTGAAGCCTTCTGGACATTACTTTCACGTTGCATTGTGTTTGGTGATAAGAGTTTCGAAATTAAGAAACGGGAATAAAAAAGTTTGTTATTTTTCTGTGCTTTAGTGCAGAATAACATTGACCTGCAATAACCATAAGCTAGGGTTGCAAGATTCAAAGTTATACCAACCAGGTATACCAGAATAAAGCATATCTACTGTTACTTACCTGCCTGTTTGTGATTTTAATTTCCTGTTGCATTAAGCTGTTTTATCTGATCCTTAATTTTTCAAAATTTGGAATTGTAAATTGCCCCTCCTAAACCTGGAATCACCATGTGGTAAAACTCATCTTAACCACTGTGATGCTTTATCCAGCATGGGACATGCCCTCAGATAGCTGTGCTGGGCGGAGCCATCTGCTATATTTGGCAAAAGGGGTCCCACAAGTATCAGTTGGAGGTTTGACACATCTCTCTGATGACTTACTTGCTCAGTCTGGAAGTTACATGGGTCAGTGATGTGTAGCAAAGCCCAACTGCCTGAGCCAAGCCAACTCTCCCAGTTTTGTACTGAACCTGCAGTGTCTGCAATACATGATTCAGCCTTCCAATCAACCCCCTTTACTGAAGGTCCTACAGCATAAATTATTCACAGGAAGAAACATTAAGTGTTAAATTTGGAAGGAAGAACTGTTCATGGCAGATGAATCGAGTCGGACTGATGTGCCGGGGTTAACCACTTATTATTTTTGCAATACATTTAATTTTAAAATCAAACTTTAGAGAGTTTGGTTCTAATGGTTAACATATCACCAAAAACATTAATTTGATTTTACTTTGCGCTTCAGAGCAATGTGCTTTCATATTTATTCTGGTTGTCTTTTTGCTGAAGTATTTAGCTAATGTGCAATTGAAGATCTGAGAATCACAAAATATCATACCACTCCGATTAGTGTAATATAAATAGAAAATGCAAACTGCTTTTTTAAAAAAGAATTCTGGGCTGTAATATAAAAGTGTATACTTGGAGGAAAATTCGTACTGGTGCCACCTATGAAAATAAGCTTTTGTGACTACCACCCTGTGGTCAAACTGGGTGATTGTCCGTGTCCAGAAACAGCTGTCCCAGAACTTGGATAGGCGTCCGTTATTGACAGTCTCATACGTTACCCACACCCTGTGGCACGTGAGGGTTTTTTTCTCAATGAAATGTACAGAAAATAGCTTTTTATACCTACTTGGGACACAAATACATTTTATTCATTTGGGATGTTCTGCTTTTAATAAAAAAGTTAGAGCAAAAAACAGTTTTACTTTTAATTTGCAGAAGTTACATGTTTATTTTGGCTGTCTAATACCAGTTACACTACTATAATTCTTTGAATGAATTGAGTAAAAAATTGGAGGAATTTGTATTATCAAGTTAGTTTGTTTAGTTTTCCTTGTGCTCAGGTTAGCCCAAATGAGAAGTGTTCTCCACCAGTATGCGGAAAAATGAAATTGATGATTGATTGATTAGCAAAATGTTATTTTCCTGATTCAGAGGTGGAACCTAAAGCGTGATCAGGAGGTTAAAAACGAATGCATGGCTGGGAAATAAGACATGACTCATTGCAATAGTATCCAGCCTGAGGGAGAGACAGAGGCCGTCCTTAACTATTTTCTGATGATTTCAGATCATGGTATAGAGAAATATCCCTCTACCATATGCAGAGGCTTGTAGTGCAGATTCTTTTTATATCTTCAAAGAAAAAAAGTACTTTTCTCTCTTTCCAGTTCACACCTGGCCATTAAATATGGGCATTCTTTTGAATAGAACCAAACTATAAACTTTATATTCTTTAATTACAATTAACAGCATTTAATAAGACTGTATTGTTTGACTTCTTAATTGATCTTGGGTTTTAAAAAAAGTTCTGTTAAAGATGCACTTTTACTGTCTTGTAAACAAATTCGATTCTGTGAGGCCTGCTGTATGTCTTACTTTCAGACGGTATCTGAAACACTATTCCCATAACCAGAAAGTCTGATTACTTCCTGCATAGTTTCAGTGATGAAAAGAATGACTGTTTTTTTGTATGCTTAAGTTAATCTACTGGATCAGTCTTATATCAGAAAGCAGTAAAATGTTTCACCCTTCAAAAAAACATTACATACAAGAAAATGTTCCTCTTTTTCAAGTATAGTGTTCTATAAAACCTCTGTATAAGAAAAATAATGGACTTTGGGAATCAACATGCATTATATGTAGGAATTCTTTTGTTGAAACATTTTATTTTACAAACCTGTTTTGACATGGATGGCTTTGTCTGCACAGAGGCAGGCAGACCCAGACAGTTTCTGTGGTTTTAGATATATTACTACACTGGTATTGGGGCCACAGTTGCAGCAACAGCAGCAGGTGTTTGGAAAGTACCAGTATTTCATGCTCTCGGATCCGAATGGTAAAGATTTTATTGTAACTTGTCCAGCTGTTTTTTTTTTATGTATGTTTCTAATTTAATTAAATAATTGTTCCATTCCAGAGATATTATAGCACAGGATGATCTATGTTGTTTTTTCGTATGAGAACTGTTTCATTTGCCGTTACTTGGATATGGGAAATGCTGACATCTTATTAGTTATAGTTTATTTTTAGTGGAAATTAAATTTGTAGCCGTGAGTGCTGTTTAATAGCAAGTTGGAATAGTTTAAAAGTCATCTTATTTAAATATAATGACACTGAATTTCAGAAAGAAACTGATCTCATTTGTAATCTGTCCAGCAAGTGGCAAATTCAGGCTGCACTAGCTGCTTCCAGATGAACACTCTGGACTTATTTTGGGTGTTAAGGACGCACCTCGTTCTTAAGAACCATGTGGTTTGTAAAATGTGTGAGCTTCAATTAACTGGAGAATAAACTGAGGTGGGTCCACAGGTGTTAATTCGGACTCAGATCAGGGTAAAAGGCTTGCCGTGGCAAGACCTCAACATTGTTTTCTTGAAGTCGTGTCCTTGTAAATCTTGTTCCTGCATGCTTCACTGTGCTGATGGGGAAATCAGGATGGGTTTGCAGGAATGGTAAAGCTGTTGACTCCAGGACTTCATCAGCAGTGTCACTGAGCTATAAGGTTGCCATCGGTCTGCGCCAAAGGTGGTCTTCTCGGAGAGTCCTCCTCACGGCATCACACTACCCACAACCCTGTTGTTTGCTTTGAGCAGTGCGCTTACCATGGTGTCTCTGCACACATCTGCTAGTGTCAGTTCCTGCCTTTCACCAGTGAGTAAAACACTCCACTGCTCTCCTGCTCCCATCTCCGATGTCCTCTGGCCCACAGGACAGCACAGTTTCATCTCTCCGTTGTGCGATTCGCCTGAACAGCTGCTGAGAGACTGTTTTCTTAATGGGTGTGTTATTTCTTCCTGGAATATTTCATACTGTAGTCACTGCAGTCTGAAAATGACTACGCAGATGGATGAGATGGATTCCCAGTTACTCTGGATTACTGTACTAATTGTTGAAGTGGAATGCCTCATTTTCCAAGAAACGCCTCTCGCAGGGCAGTAGCAACCCGACAACCTTCATTACACAAACAGGCATACCTGTAACGTCCATTGCTCTTGCCCTAAAATCACATCTTTTTACATGGTTATTTATACACATAATTCATTTTGCGCTTTTTACTCCATTGATGTGTCCAATACTGAGCACCAGGCATTTTTACAAAATGACACGAACTTAGTATTTTTTTTTTTTATTCCTGGAAACTGTACTACTCAAATAGTTAACATCCTATTTGCTCAGTACTGCAAATGTAAATAATATTTGCCCAATGAGCCATTGATTTAAAACCTAGCCTGCACTTCCGTTGTACACCAATTATATATTAAAAATGCTAAAGTTTTAAATTGTTTTTATGTGGTGATTGATTCCGTTGTTCAAGATCAGCACTATTCCTGTTAATTTTGCAATTAGGCCTTTGATGCTGAAGTTACGTTTAATGTTGTGGGGACTTTGCCTGTTTCTTATCACCTAATTACATTCTCATAACATTGGATCTTTTCTTGTGCATACTTCAGTATATTTAAACTGCTTCCCTTGCAGAAAGTATTCCTGAATTGAGAATAATTGCAGTATAGAATTATACTAACAAAATTAAATGTGCTGATACAATAGCTGAAATCAATGTCCATTTCTGTGTGTAAATATGGGAAATTCCAGGACCTGACTTTCACAAGATAAGATGCAAATTTTGTTTTCTAACCAATATGTAGAAGTGGTGTTACCCGAGTAACCTTTGCATTTGTGTTTATCAGTGCCATTTTCTATGCATATTGTAGATTTAACATTTTCTGTTCCCTTTTTTTATTTATAAAAACAAAATAAGGTTTGAAATTAGTAAGAACACTGCTCTTAACCATGCGTTAAGGAAAAGCAAAAGTTATCTCCTAATGAAACCAAGCACAATTATGAATTATAGTTTCACATATACTCTGTGCCCTTTCTTGGTGGAGTGACTTTTCTGTGCACTTGTTTAACTGGCTGTGTTCCTTTTTCTGTGCTGTGTCTTGCAGTATGATGCTGTTCCCATGCAATCCAGCTGTGTTATTTGTACCTGCAAATCCCCATCAATGGTAAGGAATCACCCAGAGTCCAGCTCGCCGCTTGCTGTCCCAGGAGCGAGCAGCAGCCACTGCCCTGCCATGGAGACCAGGGCCTCCCCCAGTCCCTCCGACAAGAACCCAGAGCAGCGGAAACACTCGATCCAGACTCCGCAGCCACGCAAGAAAAGGCCTGAGGATTTTAAATTCGGAAAAATTTTAGGAGAGGGTTCTTTCTCAACAGTAAGTCATTACTTAGTATTTGCTTTGAGTCGCTTTGTTGACCCCTGTTCTGAGGGGTACGCCGACACATTTTGCACAAATTTTGTGAGCTGATAACTCTCTGTTTTCTTGCAACCAACCTTCTTAAACTTTGCCCAAAATAAACTGTTATACGAGGAGAAACAGGAAAACCGAGACGCTTTTGTGTTCGAGCTCAGTGTTATCAGACTGTGGTTTTCTGGCATCTAAGGTCTCGACGAGCATGGCAGTAGTGACCGTGCACTCTGTTGGGTGCTTTGTGTTTTTGAATCTCTCTTTGTTTCCCTTGTTTGTTCCCTTTGTGACTTCAGAATGTTGTGGTAAAATATCATCACTTCAAAACTCTTTTAATCTTTATTTCAGTCTCTGTTTATTGTTGTCTTTATAATCAATTGTAATGCAGAACAAACAAGATTGCTTAACCTTGTTTTTTTGTTTTATAGTGATTTGTTGTCTTTTTTTTTTTAATACACAGGTTGTACTGGCCAAAGAACAGGCGACGGGGAAAGAATATGCCAGTATGTACTGTTCTTTCTCAATATACATGACAGTGGATTTCTCAGTTAATATATAGCATACATTACAGGGACTGGTTTTAGCATGAATGTGTCCATGTTTCACATTGCTTCAGAGTCTTTGTCAATGGATGTCTTTCTAAGCTTGCTTATTATATAGGCTTAAAGGAGATTGCACAACTGGTAAAGAAGGCATCCTTTAATTACTTTCAGCTAGAATTTGACTTTCCTGATGCCCCCACTGTCTTAAACATGACAAGTCAGTTGAGTTCTACTTTATGAAATAGCAATCTTTATGTACCTGTGTATGCCGAATTTGCTTATACCCGTGTCAAATGCTGGACAGCACGCTGACATCTCAGTGTGATAATAACGGTACTGAGAATTTCCATCGGCATTGCGTATTATTTATAATGGAAAGATGTGTAGGCTTAGAATGAAGAACGGAGCACTTTCCTATCGGTTCAGAAGAAATGCATCTGCTGAACATGTTTTACAGTTCAGCTGTAGACAAAGATACTGTCACCCTGCATTAATACCGCTTATTAGTTTATTAAACATTCATTCTTCCTACCAAGTCGTACTTGCCTACAGTTGCTTTAGTGAATTAACTGTTTCTGGATGCAGGATGCCAGTGTGAATGTGTATGTGTACCTGTGCAGTTGTGTAAGTCTTTTATATTTTGTGTTCTTTGTAGAGTTTAATAACTAAACAGTGAGGGCTCCCTGGCACATTGTATCTCCTGGGTTTGTGCGATCATTGACTTATGCTTCCCTCTCACATTGGATACGTCTTGCTTTCAAGTTATCTCACTACTGTATTAATTCTGGAATCATTTGGTGTGATGATTGGCTTTTGTTTTTTTGTTGTTTTCTGTTGACATGCTTTTAAACCTTTTCCTTTCAGTTAAAATTTTGGAAAAGCGGCATATCATGAAGGAGAACAAGGCACAGTACGTGAAAAGAGAGAGAGATGTCATGTCCGATCTAGATCACCCATTCTTCGTCAAGCTTTACTTCACTTTCCAAGATGACGAAAAGCTGTGTATCCTTTCCAACACAAAAGAAGTGGGCATGATGAAAAAGCATGAGCTCCCCAGCTTTTTTTGCTGGCATTCGTTGGGGTGTGCTCCTATTTATTAGATTTGTGTGCATTTTTGCATTAAATCAATTTTGCAAACCTGCATTAGTTTTATGTAAAAGTATTTATATGCGTATTTTGATTAAATTACTTCTCTTTTAGCACATTAAGATCTGATTACAAACTAAAATCATTATGGCATAAGAAATCACAGTGCAAACATGGTTATAGAATAGTATTAATGTGCAGAAGTACATTGCTGATGATGGACTGCGTTTTTTGAGGCAGATATGGGGAGGAATCATGGGTGCAACCTGTAATGAGGGGCTAGGAAAGTGATCAGAGATTATGGCTGGCTGTCTTCAACGTCCACAGGTAGATAAGACCATTGCAGATGTACTAGAGAAGAGGGTATGAGATAGGTGGTTAGCACGAGGCAGCCTGGTGGGGATGAGCAAGGAGGAGTGAGGGAGAAGAGTGGTATGTAAGAACGGGAGCAAGGGCCTGAAGTAGAGGAGCTGAATGGGAGAGACAAGCCACAGGGAATGCAAATTGTTATAGAGGTACTGGCCAGGGCTGATTTCTGAATCAAGCGTAGAGAGAGCAGCAAACAGTGAGTTTGCAGTATTTGCAATCTGGAAAGAATAAAACTGGGGCATAGGGTAGGCAATTTAACTATTAATTTAGTGAGACAAGGCTATCTTTTTTTTTTAAATCACTCACAATTCTTACTTTCTGAGGCTCAACTGATATAATGTCTGATTATTTATCACAAGTTTACATTTGATAGTGATAATATTGGATTGGGATTTCCTGCCTTGGACTTTCTTTATGTCTATCATTACATGAACAGTTTTATAATCAGTAGACACAACTCTGTCCAAAGAGTCAAGTGAATAACCTGGTTGGTCTGTGACGGACATCCTTTGCTGTTCAGTGTAGGCCTGAATCTTCTGCCTGCTTTGATTTTCCCAAATGCTCCGTCGGTAGACCGTAGCTTAATTTGCGCTGATTGAAGAGGTGGGAGTGGGGGGTGCTGGGGAGAGGAGGGGTTCTGGGACAGGTAAGGTTCTCCTGCAGCCCAACTAGGTGAAAGCAGTCAATCGGGGGTGGAAGTCAAGAGGAGGGCGAGCTCGTGGATTGTGGGTCTTTTCCTGCTTTAATGTGATTTCTCATTTTTCATCCCCATCCCACGTATTTTGAACCTCCAGAAACCAGTTATCACTGGAGAAACTTAAGTCTTTCATTGTAAGAAGAGAACCCTAGTGTTACTGCATTTGTTTGCAATCTGTTTTTCCTGCCATTAGTTGAAGTTGGTGGGAAAGGAAAAGCAACCTTTGGTGATCTGTAATTTGAAACTTCACAGTTTCTAACCAGCATACATGCACAGGTGAATTCATCTGTGCTGTTTTAGATAACTAGTATTAATGTTGTAAATACTGCATAAACAGTATGCAGTTAAATGCTATGCATAATCTATGATTTTTATATCATTCAAAGATGTTTTTTATTTACATTAACGGTAGTGAGAACTGTGGGTGGATTAAAATTGAAAGAAACTCAGCTCATCTCATCTTGCAGTTAAAATGTTTTTAGTTTCTCATATGTTTGTAATATCTAAAGGTTGTAAATGTTTACGGAGATAGAGGTTCAAAAGTCTCTTTAACATCATATTAGCTGTACTCCACAAACAGCCACTACTATGGAGAGTTAGAGAACTGAATGTTAACGTTTGTCAGCATTATTTCAGAGTCTGCTGACCACTGCCCAATCTAAACAATTCATTTACTATATTCTGTGGGTCTTTAAACTCCTAAATTAAGAAGAGTTTGTCCTTAACTACTATCTCATCAGATTTTGGCCTCAGCTACGCCAAAAACGGAGAGCTGCTTAAATACATTCGCAAAATAGGTTCTTTCGATGAGACCTGTACAAGATTCTATTCAGCTGAAATTGTTAGCGCGCTAGAATATTTACACGCCAAGGGGATTATTCACAGGTAAGGCTTAAATAATGTGCATTTGCTTTGAATGGTAACGTTTAAGTTTGTTCTGCAGGTAATTTCCCAGTGCTGCTCTTGTTTTAAGTGCATGAGAAAAGTAAGTTCTTCACAGTGTTAACTCAAGTTCTTTCTCATTAGCATGTGGCTAAAATCAAGACTTGGCATGGCTTCTTTATTAAGCCTATGAGAAAAGGGCCATATGGTGCATATGGTAGCGAGAATGAGTAGCGCTGGAATGTGCAAGTCCATATGAAGCAACACCACTGTTTTATACACTTGTTAAATGACTGTGTTAAACATAGTTTAAGGCAGCAATATTGACTTCTGGTCTTGGAGGAGCACAGTCAACTAGGGTTTGTAGGCGACTCATAATCTTCAGGAAAGAGCTGGAAGCAGTGTTAATAAAGATCAGTGAAGTGTACCTTTGATCTGAGTTATTAAGTCTTCTAGCGTGGAATGAAAACACTCCTCAAAGACTAGGAGTTAAGTGTTGGTAGTTTAAAGTGACTTCATAGTGGCATCCCTGGTAAACAAAGCTTCTACTAGGTATTTTTCTTGGATCTTTGGTATAAAAAGACACCAAACAGTCAATCCTGCATCACATTGTGTTTTCCATCTAGGGACCTTAAACCAGAAAATATTTTACTGAATGAGGAGATGCACATTCAGATCACGGACTTTGGAACAGCAAAACAGTTATCTTCAGATAGCAAGCAAGGTATGTCTGAATAAATATCTTGATTTTTGTTAGTCTAATTTAATTTTTCTCATTCGGATAATTGTACAAAGCATACTGCTGGGCACCTTAAGTTAAAAGGTGTTAAGTGCCAAGTGGTTGATTGTGTCATTCCATATAACCTCAAACTCTGAAATTCATAATGGCAAAACAAGGAATCCAACTTGTATTTATGTAGTTTCACAAGACATTTAGTCTAAAATCAAGATTTATTTAGCAAGATTAAGCAGGCAAATAAAAAAGACCATTTTATCTGTGCTTTAATGTTAAATTTACAAAAGTAATAAATGTTTTTCCTCTCACAACACTATACATTTCCTGCATGTAAGATTAGGTTATACTAAATATTGCTCATTAACTCTGACGGGGGCCAGATTAATTATAAACCTTTGGTTTATAAGTATAGCAGTAAAAAAATCAGAATAATAACGTTCCAGGAAGTCAGTTATTTTTTGTGATGCTTTTCTGTTTTGAACTTGCTTAACTATTGAATGGGTCTGAATCTTTTGTTCATTTGTGCATTTGTATGAAAAGTACAATGAATGCAGCTGGTGTTGATTTATTGTGCAAACTGAAATATCGGGGGGAGAGTAGAAACTCAAAATTCAAGCTTTGGAACAAAATAACTGGAGGGGAAACCCTCTTAAACCTGTTTTTCTTTCATCATTAGACACTATCAATTGCTAGTATTGTCGGATGATTTGACTGGTGTTTTTAACTCTTTATACTTTGTTTTTGGTCTTTATATCCTTAAGTAAAAAAAATATTTGAGCTAAACTTTAAAAAGTTGTTTTTTTTTTGCAGCGAGAGCAAACTCATTTGTAGGAACTGCACAGTATGTTTCCCCAGAACTGCTGACAGAGAAATCTGCCTGCAAGAGGTACTGTGTTCGACTAGCACCACACCTCTTCTTTCTTTCCTTCTTTTCCTACTGGTAAAGTGAAAACCACCAGCAGAACAACAGAATCAAAGGGCCTAAAAATGGAAATTCAAGTTGTGAGGAACACAAATGAAATGTATGATCTGTGAAGTCTATGGTCCTCTCTTAATTTACTGCTTATTTTTTTTAATACTTATTTTGCTAAACTGGACTTAATAAACCTTGAATCAGAAGTAGATGCTGCTTTGGATAATTATCCTAATAAGACAGATGTGGTCTAAACACAAGGATGGTGTTTAGCGCAGTGTGCCTAGTGAATTCATTCAATTCTTCTTGTTTCATTTAGCTCTGACCTTTGGGCCTTAGGTTGTATAATCTACCAGCTGGTGGCTGGACTACCACCATTTAGAGCTGGGTAAGTAAAAACATGTATTTATTTATCTGTACCAAGTAAAATAAACAATTTATCAATACAGAGAAACAATGAAATTGTTGAGTTAGAAGATAATGTTCCTTTTTAATTATTATTATTATATGTATTGCACCAACACAGTGTTTTGTACTGTGTGCTGGCTGTTATTTAGGGAAATAAAAGATTGAAGAATATGTCAAAAACACTTCACAAAATAACAGGAAGCCATGACTGTGGTGTTTCTGACTTGTTTATGTAGAGAGTGTCTGGTGAACTGAAGAAACCCAGTCACATGGCTGGGCTGCCTCATGGTTAAACTGTAACTGACAAATCAACAGGCACTGAAGCACAAACAGAGCCCTTGGAGTGTGAACCCAGTGTGCTCGTTGTGCGGAAGATGTATTGTAAGACGTCTGGCGTAACCTACTGATTCTGTACTAAGCCTCAGCCTGTGTTTTTGTGGCTACGAGAGTATTTTCCCAGTGCTGGAGGGTAGAATAAGGCCTGCGTGTATTTGACTCCCTCTCCTGTTTTTCACCTTGTTTCTGTTCTTAGACCAAGCTAATGTAAGAAATTCCTTTTTTTTTTGTTTTGACAAAACATACCATATTTTGCTGTATAATATAATGCACAGGCATCTAATTACAATGTTGCTTAATGAAATATTTCAGGTGGGTAACTGCGTCAGCATGCATAGTCTGCAAAGGAAAACGTAATAGGTTTATTCCATGATGAAAAGCGAAGAAAACACAACGTTTCGGTTGTCACACCAAAGAAAGCTTCACAGCCGGAACGTTGTTTTCTCTCTTCTCTTTTCAGCACGGAATAAACCTATTACTTGTTCCTTAATGAAATATTTACAGGTCAGAGAATGTCTTAACAGTACAGAGTCTGGAGAACAACAACTTTCTTGTTTTTACTTAGGTGTGGCTGATATTCACTCTTTCTAAACTGAAGGTGTTCTTTTTCTCAAACAAAATTGTAATTGTTCCCCAATCAAGAATAGAGGGTTATTAAGAATCTTTAATGAGCCTTACTGCAGTGACCCTCACTCTGTGCCGGGAGGGGTACGGACCGAGCTGTTGGGAGTTGTCTGCTGTTTCTCACAGTGGGACGCCTCTCTCATTGAAAAAGCTACTAGCTGTGCAAGTCACAGGTTTCACTGTTGTGGCCCACTCTGCTCTGGTGGCATTAGGCCAGTTAGTGAAGTAAGGGATTCCCAGGCACAGCAGGTGAATAGCATATTCCAGGCCCCAACCCGTGCTGTCTTGATATAGGGCTTCACTTACACTCCTCATAAAGCAGTATTTTAGCATCATCCCATTCTTTTATAAAGGTACCTTACCTCCATGAGGTGAATTCCATTGTAGTGGACATGCCTATTTTAAAGAAACAAGTAAAGGTTTATTCTATGCTTGAAAGAGAAGAAAAGAAACAACATTTTGGCTGTGGAGCCTTCTTTGGGTGTCAAATTGAATGATTTATGCCAATTTAATGTGCATTTTATGCACATTGTCAACTGAGCTTCGGACCAGATTATTTTTATTGCTGTTAATTTGCTCCTCAGGTCACATCTGTCGATGCAACATGTCCTGTTAGTTGCTGTCTGGGTCTTGGAGCTCTGCTGCACTGCAATGCAATACATAGTTTTTTTTTAATGCACCATGTCCAGACATCTCACGTGTCCTCATCCCCTAAATTACATCCACTGACGTTTTAGAGGGCAGTCATCATATGAGCGGCACTGGAAGCGCTTTGCCAATGAAGACTTTCTTTTTGTCGTTTTCAGGAACGAGTACTTAATATTCCAGAAGATAATAAAATTGGAATATGAATTCCCAGAAAAATTCTTTCCTAAAGCAAAGGATCTCGTAGAACAGCTTTTAGTAAGTATTTTGTACATAAAACGTGTAACTGTCCTTAAGTGTCTATATGTGACTAAATGCACATGTGTTTTTCAAAGAGGAAATAGTGATGTATCTGTTCATTTCCCCAAATACATTTGTAGCTGCTGGCACTTTGAATGATTCCCAGTTCTGGCCATGTCAACCTCCCTGTGTTTCCACAGTCTCTGGATCCCTCCAAGAGGATAGGCTGTGAGGAGATGGGTGGGTATCCACCTCTGAAGGCTCATGCTTTCTTTGAGACCATCTCCTGGGACAACCTGCACCTGCAGACTCCTCCCAAGCTGACCCCTTACTTGCCCGCCATGTCAGAGGACGACGAAGACTGCTATGGAAACGTGAGAGCGTTTAATGTTTTTATCTCTAGTCAGGGCTCTGTGTAAAGAGTTGCTAGCCATGACAGTAAGGGAGCAGGTTTTGGGAATATGTACCTTGGACTGCATGTGAAATGAAAAACCCATTCCCTATATTTCTCAGGAGGCCCTCTTATTCATAATGGGTTCAAATATTATACTCTAATACCAAGCTTTCCATTAGTGCTCCTACTGAATGTCCAGTCCTAATATGCTTCTCTTTTAATCAAAAGTGTTTTTTTTTAATTATTTGTTGTCCTTAAATGGAGGCAGTGGTTAATTCAGAAGGATGAAGCCGCACTGGCTTGTTATTCACCTTTCACTTCCAATGTAATTTCATCTCTCTCATGTCCAGTATGATGACCTCCTCAGCCAGTTCGGCAGCATGCAGGTGGTCCAGTCAAGCCCCTCGCCCTTGCCTTTGGTCCCCGAGTCCTCCCTGCCGCAGAGATCCAGCAGCAACATTGAGCAGTACATCCACGATCTGGACAACAACTCCTTCGAGCTGGATCTGCAGTTCTCCGATGAGGAGAAGCAGCTTCTCCTGCAGAAGCAGACCACTGGAAATCCATGGTATGGACCGCTCTATCTTAAAGCTGACAAGGCACAAGCTGTCCCTGTAGATGACTTCCTGCCTGTGGATAGATCATCCTTATCCAAGAGAGTTTGCCCTCATTGAGAATTATTTGGAAAGTGCTTGTTGCTTGCAGTCTGAGGCTAATCTTGCCATTTTACAAAAGACACGTAGTACAGGAGTACCTAAGAGTTTTTGCCCCATGTTTTGCATGAAAAGCTAATTTTAGCTCCTTTTCAAGTTGCTTAACATTTAGATTTTTAATGTTATACATCCTACTTGAAAAATAATTTGCAGTACAAGACATGTAGCAGCACTGCACCTGATTAAAGGTTTTCGCTTAAGAGTTGGCCAGTTTCACAGTCATCCTAGTTTTGTACATAATTTGATATGAGAAATGTTCTAATGTGCCTACTGTTTGTTTTTCACAGGCACCAATTTGTAGAAAATAATTTAATACTTAAGATGGGTCCAGTGGACAAAAGGAAAGTAAGTAATAACACCTGCAAACTAATGTTTTTTCAAGCATTGTGTTGATAAATACATCTTATCACTTGATTTGTAAATGTACTTTTTAAATTTGTGGCTTTTAATGAAAAATGTTAATGTATGAGTTTTTGTTAGAATTGGTGTAGAAGTTCTAATACCTTGTTAAATGTAATTGTTTCTTTTGCATGCTAATGTCCTGGATAAAATGTATAGGAGAATAGTGCCCTCTGGTGGCAAGATGGAGCTCCTTCTTTGTGCTAGTCGTGGAATACTGCAGAAGTAATTGGAGTTGTACTTCTGGAAGAAAAAGTAAAAACGTCAGTGCAGAAAAACTGTTTTAGCATCACATATAAAGCTGTTATTTTCAGTGTATGATCTTGAAGATGCTAATTATTTGTATTTCAGCTTTACACCGATCATTTAAAAAAATTAATAAGTGAAACAGATGATAAAGGGAACTGCAGCACTATTTTTATATTTCAGGGTTAGAAAGAATAAGCATTGAGTGCATTTCAAACCACAATGAAAGTAATATGTACACAGTAATTTGTAAAACCTGCCATTTACATTACAAAAGAGACAACATTTTCAGTATGCACAGCACCGTGTTCTGTGCTTCAAAACACAGCCTTATTACATTATAGACATTCAAGTGGGTAGCTGTGTCAACTTGAGTAGTCTGCAAAGGAACAAGTAAAGGTTTATTCCATGCTGAAGAGTGAAGAAAATAAATAATTTTTTGTCTGTGGAGCCTTTTTCAGGTGATGAAGAAGGATCCACAGACAAAATATTGTTTTTTCTTTTCAGCATGTGATAAACCTTTACTTGTTCCTTTCCAGCTTATTACATCATATACAATCAGGCTAGTGAATACATCTTTTAATCAAATAGAAATATTGCTCTTGTCTTCAAGATGGTTTTGCTGATAAATGGAACTTGTTCACTCTGCATGCAGATCACATTGGGAACTTTCTTCAGTGAAATATCTGCTACCTGTATTTATTTGCTTATACATCACATTACGTTGGGCATTACAGTGACTAGTGAGCAGGAAGGGCTGCATCATATCACAGTTTGTGGGAACTCTCGTTCTCGCCCGTGGCAAGACTAGGGGTTTATGACAACTCCTCATTTTTGTAGGGACTGTTTGCACGTCGGCGCCAGCTCCTCTTGACTGAAGGACCCCACTTGTACTACGTGGACCCCGTTAACAAAGTGCTGAAGGGAGAAATTCCCTGGTCCCCAGAACTGCGCCCAGAGGCCAAGAACTTCAAAACCTTCTTTGTTCACACAGTAAGTTGGTAGTGTTGACTGTCCAATGTCTGTCAGTATCAGTCTTCCATATTGCTGCCTTTGCAAACGGTATTCATCCGAATTTTAACTTTTTGCTTCTAGATACCTAATGCTTCTAGATGCGTAAAACTAATTAAATCATTTTATGACTTTAAAATATACCAGTGGCAAACAAATGAGCAGTGCCTCCATCTTCAAGTTGTTGTTTTATTTAACAAAATGTGTTCTGTATTTAAGAGAACCAAATTGTGTAGGTTTGAAAAAGCAGAAACTTTGTAATTTGCAACACGGAAAATGTTTGGGTTACAATAAACAATTTTGGATTGAGATCAGATCTACAAGGCTAAATTGGCTACGTGACATATTGGGATGAGTTAATGTCTGGAATCAGTGTAAACACCCTGAAGACATTCAGATCTTGGTATTTCTCTGGCTCTGCTCGTTCTGACTTCGGCAACTGTCTCTGTTCAGGCCTGGGCCACTCTTTTCCTGCTGTTAAGGTCCTCCTACTTTGTGATATTCAGTTGTCTTTATTTTGCTTCATTTTGTGCCAATTTAGTATAAGACTGAAATTCTGATGCAGTATTTTAGCTTTGTCTTAACATTAACTTGATATTTTAATATTTTAATACTAAGTGTTATTTAATTTTGTTAAAATTAATAACAATCATCAGAAGACCTGCAAAACTAATTTGCACTGTAAACTGTTGGCAGAAACCAACTGAAAACTCTGACAGTGCAGGCCAAATTCTTGAAGAAAAACTAATAATCGCCTATATTTTAAGTGGTGGTGGACAGTTATCTCATTCCCACCCAAACTGGAATTGCAAGATGTTTATCGACTGGATGCCGCTATAACCGTTGTATGGAGGGAAAGACCTGTAAACGCCATCCCCCAGTACCTGTCTGAGCCAGTTGTGACTTGACAAGCATGAGGGTCTAGTGGAAGAGCAAATTCCAATCTCTGCAAATTTGCAGGCTCCCCGCAGGCCTCAAGTCTCTGTTGTGTTACAAGCCAGGAACATACTGGCTGACTAAAGCCTGACATACCCCTTGCAGCATTATGGCTGTTTGTACACCACTTCCTAAGGAATCAAGGTCTTGTTTTAGCTGATGTGTGATGAGCGTTCTGGCGCACTATGGCTGCCATTGCATCATCCAGGTGGGGCTGCACAATGGTGGTGGTGGAGGGGAGTCCCCATTACCTGTAAAGCGTTTTGAATGAAGTGTTCAGAAAAGCACTATAGAAGTGCAAACAATTATTATTATTATTATTATTATTATTATTATTATTATTATTATTATTATTATTGTTTTGCCCTTGGCATTTCCTGGCTTAAACCAGTGTGGTAAGGACAGTAAGGGTCATCCTGCCCTTCAAGGGAACACTGTTACTGATGGAACCCCTCAAGACCCCCCAGGATTGTAGTCAGCGTTGCCAGTTTTTTTTAAGTAAACCTCAGTTTTGATCTAGAGCATGTGTATTATTTTGGGGAGCTGTGATAGTGTGCAAGCATCAAAGGGAGAAGCAGAGATTAATTCCACACTGAACAGAAGAAAAGCAAGGGTATATTGTGGCAGTAAGGCCTTTTCAGGTCTGTGGGGGACTGTTAGCATGAAAAAGGATTCATATACGTTATTACAGCTCATTAATTTATTTGAGTCCTCTCCTTTTCATGAGCTAAACTTGTTATTCTAATTGTCCTAAGCGTATGAAAATGGCTGTGGCCAGCTAATTGCACATTGAGTGCACTGAGCTTTCCCTGCCTAGTCAATTCCACTGAGGCAATATACTGTAATAAGGAAACAAGGCAGTGTACGTAAGGTAACCTAGGCTAGTGGGTCTGTGTTAATTGAAAGGTCAGAGAAAGAAAAGCGAGGGATGCCTGAAAGAGACTAATTGGGTTTTTTTTTTGTATTTTTGCAGCCCAACAGGACGTATTATCTAATGGACCCTAATGGGCATGCGGACAAGTGGTGCAAGAAGATTCAGGAGGTGTGGCGAAAGATTTACCATAAGCACCAAAATGCTGGCATGTAGGTCCAGCTGCAGGAAGGGTCCACTATAGCTCTCACTGTTGCCAGACCTCGCTTCCACATATGACATCTGCCATAGAGCAAAGAAAGCCTTCGCTAGTGCCCTTCATCACAAGAGATAACATCTCCGTAGGAAGGCCAGCTTCTATTTTTTTGTCTCTTTAAAACAAATTAAAACAGAAAAAAATAGACATAAATGGAATTCAGGGTTGCTTTGCTTGTTCTTTGTGCTCTTGCTGAGGTTTCAGATGCATATCGTCATGTGCGAATGAAGATCTTGCTTTCGTGCACATCTCTTTCTCCTGCTACAAAAAAGTTTTAAACCACGTGTGTAAACTGCTTCACTAGGATTGATGTATAAATCCACACGCACACACAGCCAGACAGTGTACAGCAGCCCTGTGATCACACAATTGGGGGGGGGGGGGGAACGGGGGAGACAGCTTTTTCCTGTGACTGTTTTTTTTTTCAATCTGAACTGTATTTTTTGTCAGGGAGCCTTCAAGAAACTCTTGCTAACATTGTTTTATGTCTGCCTACGTTTTTTTTGCTTACTACGTATCTGCCTTGTGCAGTCCAGTCAGTGACAGCCTAGCTTCATTCTTAAAATAGAACTGATTCCAGGTTTACAGTGGTACTTAATTATAGCATTGATGTCTGTACTCAAGTGTGAGTTCTGAGTAGACTGATGAATTTACTGTCAATAATATAACAGAGGAAGTAGCAAGTACAAAGAGCTTTTTAGTCATTACCTTAATACTTGCTTAACAACCCTGCATGGCCAGTTGTAAATTGCAGACACAATAGTTTTGGGTTTTTTTGTTTAAAAAAAAGCCTTTTGCTTCATCAACCTGTAAAGGTGTGTTGAGAGAGCCGCAGATTAATCACTGACACTAGTATAACTTAAGATCTGTACTGGAGTCATTCGACTGAGTTGACAACCGTAGTTATTAGAAATTGATTATTAGTTGTGTTATGCCATTTAGTGGTATTTATTTTGATTGCAGGACAGCACATATTCTTTGATTAAAAAAAACTTCAGAATGCTGTCCCTCAGTTGAAAAGTAACAGCAATATACAGGTAAAAGACAATGTACAACAGAAACTTTCAGATAAGAATCGCTGCACAACTCTTTCTGAGCATCAGCGCAACCGAACACCGTTGCTGAGAAAAGACGACCTGTTTAGATTTGCACAGTGCCAGGTTTACAGAACGGTAAGTTTCCGCAGTGTGTCCGTGAAGTCTGTCCGAGCCGAGATCAGACATGGCTCGCACTCAGTGTGCACACAGAGTCAGTGCCGTGTTCTTACAGTTACGTCAGTCTGCCACCAGTGACTGTGTGGATTGTGTAGAATCAGCCTCAGACTGTATAATGTAATCAGTGTGTTTGGATGTCAGCAGAAGCTATTCAATCCACATAGCAGTTGAAAATTGCTGTATCTATCTTTAAGGTTAGCAAGTACAGGAAGTGTCTATTTTTCTCCTGCTAGAACTTTTTTTTATCAGGTTGGCGAGAGTCGGTTACTTTGTGTATTTAATACTCTACCTGGTTCGTAGCCGACTAGAACTGTGATGTACAGAAGACGTATTAAAGAATTCTGAAGCAAGTAATGCAATGAAATTAGGATACACACTTTTTGTATTTTTATTCTTGTATAAGGTTATTTGCTGGCTATTGTTTAGCCTCTAGTTCATTCTGTGTTATTTAAATTCTAATATATGAATCATTTTGGATTGAAGTCATGTTCAGGGGCCATGTTGTGTATGTATTGAGATGTAAAGCCTTTGAATGTGAATAATTATTGTAAACTATGATATTTTACAACTTTTTTTTCTTACTTTATTATATAAATTTTCTATTTGGTCAGTGATTTAATCATATTTCTCATAATTTAATGAATCTGCTCTTCTCATTCTGATTATTTGTGCTCTAGGTGTAGTTGTTGAATGATACATTTTCCACGTAATGCTTGGTAGTCCTATAATAAAGCATGTAGGGTTTTAGGCATACCATGTTAATGTGTCTTGTTTTTTTTTCTCTTGTACTCTTTTCTGTAAAGTGTCTTCTCACTGATCATCTTTGGAAAATCCGGAATTCTTTAATACTTAATTCTCAGAATGCAACTAATATAAGGAAATGTACAAAGTGGGAGCTTAAAAAAGAGCAGATAGGGGAAAATCACATAGGTTTGTAAGATCCAGAGAGGCTCCTGGCCATATAAGGACAATTTAGATTAATTAATATAATAGAGTTCTGTCTGTTTGTCCTCTGTCAGCTTTTGTAAAACTGATTTTTTGGCTGCAGTTTTTTTATGCCTGAAGATTATGCAAATTTTATGCAACTCACAACTGGCAACCCACTGAAGCTCTGCAGGTGTGAGCATAGTCAGTACCTGGATGGGAGACCTCCTGGGAAAAACTAAGGTTGCTGCTGTTAGAGGGGCCAGTAGAGGGTGCTCACCCTGTGGTCTATGTGGGTCCTAATGCCCCAGTATAGTGATAGGGACACTATACTGTAAACATGTGCCATCTTTCGGATGAGATTTAAAACCGAGGTCCAGACTCTCTGTGGTCATTTAACATCCCAGGGTGTTTCTCTAAAAGAGAAGGGGTGTAACACCGGTGTCCTGGCCAAATTTCCCATTGGTCCTTCCCAATCATGGCCTCCTCATAAACCCAATCTATGAATTGGCTTCTTTACTCCGTTCTCCTCACCACTAATAGCTGATGTGTGGTGAGCATTCTGGTGCACTGTGGCTGCTGTTGCATCATCCAGGTGGGGCTGCACATTGGTGGTGGTGGTGGAGGGGAGTCTCCATTACCTGTAAAGTGCTTTGAGTGAAGTGTCCAGATAAGCGCTATATCAGTGTAAGCAATTATTATTATTATAAGATTAATAGTCACTTGGGAGTCACTGAGAAGGAGTGACTCGGTAGCACTGTAATGTCAGTCTCATCAAAGAACACAGACAGACTTAACTACATCACACTACCAAACTAGGTGTAGGTGTGTGCACTATTACCCCTTGGATGCATCTATGACAGTTTCAGAACCAGTTTTTGTCTGAAACCCCCAATGTGGTGTTACATGCATTTGGTGTGCAAGTTTAAAATGCTTTTATCTGGATAGTGCAAGTATTTAGAGAAAGATAAAGTATTACATTACACCACACCCTAAACAGGGATACCATCCAACTTGTGCAGTTCTCTGTCCCATAGAGAATTAACTGGAGAATAACACATGAAAAATCCTATGAAAAACACTGGACATTTGTAGTAACTGTCAGTGTGCAATTTAAAATACTACCTTGAAGGGGTCAGTAGAAGCTGTGATACATTAAGTTTAAATTTTTGTATCGGTCAATAAGTGTTGGTTACAGAATAGTTTACAACAAATTGCTATGCAGCGCTTTGTATAACACATTTTTACAGTTCTAATAGGCCACTTGGAATAAAGACTGAAAATGTGGATACTTTATAAATAGACTTCCTAGGTCAAGTGCCATAAGTCACCTTGACATTGGTTCTCATGGAGTATCTCATTGAGAGTCGACCATAGACTATCAAACCTTCATATAAGATCGTGGTCCTCTGTGGTCTGTTAACATAGGTTCTCATCACCATGGCGGTCCACATCAGAGGAATGGAAAAGGATCACCCATGATCCTCCATGAAGTCAAAGTATCCAAGATGACACATTGTGACTTGATATAGCCAGTTGGGTTTCTGGCTTTACATGTGTGGTAAGTTTAGAAAAAAAGAGCATGGAGCAATACACTACATGATTCATCAAAACCAGGGTGCATTCTGGGCAAGTGTCTCAGAGCAGAGGATGAATTCCATAGAGCATTATAGAGGCCAGTGCCGTGTCCCAATGGTGAAAGATAGCTGTTCTGAGACTACATAGAGGCTTAACTCGTCCATCAGGTTGGTCGGTACTGGAGCAACTAGAATAACGAAGATGACTGGGAAAGTCATTGAAGACCAATCACTGCATTATAAAGGAAAGGCTTCACGTTTTTATGGTTAGATTTTAATTTGCATGCCTAATTCGGCTTGTATTTGTCTTAATTCCAAATGCAAATTAAAATTGACTTTTGATGTAATTGGCAAATCGTAAAATACCAGTAGCTGTGTAGGCATCTGTGTTTTCAGAAAGTGCACGACTGGCTTAATTTTGATCTCGGGTATCTGTCTAGAATTTGCAATTTCCTTTTTGGTCAGGTGCCCTGGTTACTTCCTACCTCCAAAAGATGTACACGTGATTAGCTTTTCTAACCTGCTTCTTTCTCTTAAGAACATAAGAATGGTTACAAATAAGAAGAGGCCATTCAGACCATCTTCCCCATTTGATAGTAGTTCATTTATCCCGGGACCTCATCTCCCCGTTCCTTGAAGGAAATCTAAATATCGGCTTTAACAACATGGCTGTGGCTGGGTAGCTGGTTCCATACTGCCACAACTCTTTGGTAAGAGCAGTGCATTCTGTTCTTGGTTTTAAATGCATTTCTACAGTGTTTTAAATAAATGAAAGAAACTTGCTTATCAAGAGGAGAAGCTTCTTCACAGAGAGGGCAGAGAGTGTTTTGAGATGTTGTACTAAACAAGCACACACACTAAATAGGTGCAGTTATGACCAAGTGACATTATAAGCCCTTTGGATAAAAGGAGGAGTTCTCTAGTTTAAATGGGTGCAAACGTAAGTCACTTTTTATATTACAAAAATTGTCATTTTGAAATGAGTAGCTAAACCGATTCCAACACGTTTAAACAGAAATATGTAGACTTTTTATGCATCTAATGCAGTTCAGCCATTGAATTCATCGCTGAAATCCATTTCAGACTCTACAACTGTAGACATCTTAAAAACCCACTTAAAGACCATTCTACTGCAATTTTCAAAGCATGATTTAGACTTTCTCTTACTTTACCTAGGTCACAGTAACAAACATAAGCAAACACTTTCATCCGCGTCAACCTACAGACACAACTAATGGTTAATTACAGCCTCACCAACTGCTGCTGCAGAGTAACTGATGATGTGAAAGCATGGGAAGAGCAGCAGAGAGTCCAGTACCACTCTAGTACCAAGACTGCAGTTCTGGAGAACACCCTGAGAAGACACACACAAAGTGTATACCTGGAGTGTCCCAAATTCAAGCAGTGTTACAACAGATTTTATAATCTGGGTCCAGCCACGGTCACCTTATTACAATGAAAAGGTGTTTATGACTGACCAGTACCAGTTGTTTTGGAATCATAGAAAATAGAGTATTTCCACTTATGGCACAGTGGCTATTCCTGCTAATGTTATCCCTGCCTTTCAGTTACTCCTGTTTGTTTAAACAATCGACACAAGCCAGGTCAGGATTAATGACCCCAGGTCAGACTTGTATTTCTACAGATGGCCCAGCCAGGATGTGAACTGGAAGCTCCCTGATAAAAGGCATTTTCTTGAACCACTTAACTTCCTTCACATGATAGATATGTAGCTGATTTTCTTCAAGGCTGAGCTCCCCACACAACTGTTGGATAAAGCGGTATGAGTTAATGTTGGAGTTCAGTCCCATAGTGAATACATCCATCCATTTTCTAACCACTTTGTCCAGCACAGAGGCACAGGAGAGCTGGAGCCTATCCCAGCAAGCAACAGGCACAAGGCAGGGTACACCCAACTCACAACTGGCAACCCACTGAAGCTAAGCAGGTGTGAGCCTGGTCAGTACCTGGATGGGAGACCTCCTGGGAAAAACTAAGGTTGCTGCTGGAAGAGGTGTTAGTGGGGCCAGCAGGGTCCCCAGTATAGTGATCGGGACACTATACTGTAAACAGGCGCCGTCCTTCGGATGAGACGTAAAACCGAGGTCCTGACTCTCTGTGGCCATTAAAAATCCCAGGGCACTTCTCGAAAAGAGTAGGGCTGTAACCCCAGTGTCCTGGCCAAATTTCCAATTGGCCCTTACCAATCATGGCCTCCTAATAATCCCCCTCTATGAATTGGCTACATCACTCTGCTCTCCTCCACACTGAGAGCTGGTGTGTGGTGAGTGTTCTGGTGCACTATGGCTGCCGTAGCATCATCCAGGTGGATGCTGGTGGTGGTGGAGGGGAGTCCCCATTACCTGTAAAGCGCTTTGATTGGAGTGTAAGCAATTATTATTATTATTATTATTATTATTGCAGGGCACAGCTACAGACACAAACATGCAGACATTCAGACAAGCGCCAGTTTTCCCAGCAGCCAATTAACCTGCCAGTCTGTATTTGGGTCTTTGTGGGAAGAAACACACATGTACTCGGGTTTCTCTTCATCAAATCTTTGTGGGAAGAACCCAGGGCACCCATGTGAACACAGGAAGAACATACATACTCATACACAATCAGCACCCCAGGGACTGAACCCAGGCATGCAGGACTGTGAGCAATGCTAAACACTGCACCACCGTGCCTCCAAGGGTGATAACAGAAAGTAACAGTTTGAAATTTGAAAAAAATAACACTAGATCGCTACTCCTCCCTACCAGTTAAGGTGTAAATCCAATTTTGTTGCATACCTTTCTAAAAGGATTACCAAGCTATGTCTTAGCAAAGTCACAACAGCGATACAAAAGGAGACACGCAACTGTTGAAGCTCTAAAGCTTAAGCAAGCTTATCAAATGGCCTTATGCCGCCCAAAAGGACAGAGGCAGACTTCCACATTGAAGTTTACTTCTCAGAGTACTAAGGCTGGCCTATGGGTTTAATTTGATCAAAACTGCCTGTAACAGGGAATTCTTTATCCAAAAGGAAGCTTAAGAGTTTTCAGGGTTTTTTTTCCCTTAATCAGGAACGAGAAAGCAATCACGAACAGTAAATTGGGACATGTGATTCCAAAATGCACACTCGGTCTTAGCCACAAGGCAGAGAAGTGGGCAAATTGTAATGCTAATGTAACTCTGTCAGGTGACTAGTTAACTGACAATCACAAGCAGATGGGCCTTCAGGAACAACATGACTTCCAGAAGGGATGTGCCTGTTGGAATGGATTAATTTAGCTTTGTAAGAAATGTGGTAAGTGTTTGGGGACAGGAAATATACACCCCTGAGGTCAAAGGAGGTTTTTTTATGACCTACAAATAATTTTGGTTTTCCAAAATAGAACATACACGAAATTCTGTAGGAAGCAGGAGCTCACACACAGCAAAGGAGGCCAATTTTGACACAACATCTGAATATGCTGTCAATTTCTGCCCATGCAAAATGGAACCTAGACGGATCTCCGTCTTTCAGCAAATCTGTAAAGGAGTACACGCAAAATCGGTTTCCAAAATGACCTCGCAGAAAACGATTTTTAGCGTAGTTAGGCCTCTCAAAAAGTACCAGAAGCTGGATAGTGATTCGGCAGTTGTTGGTAAGAAAATGACTTCCTGTGATAAATGTTACACATGTAAGCTTCTTTGTAGCACGTCCGTGTTGGTACAAGGTTCTGAAACGATCTTGTTTTCGCCCACCGCCCGAATTTCACAGCTCTTCTGGTTGATTCATTCCTGTTTTAGGTGAACATAAAGTTGTTGTTTTTTTTTTAAAAAAAAGGTCCCGTGTATATTGCCTAACTGGATTATAAACCACGTGCACTGCTCATTTACAGATTTACTAGCACAATTGCGCTCCAATAGAAACTGGTTGTCACCGTTATATTGTGGATTTTTTTTTCTAACGGACCTTTTGAAGTGGCTTTAGGTTGCGCTAGATGTAGGATTAGCAGACAAAGGTCTTTTCAGATGTTTCTCTCTCAGGTCCGCCGGATTGGAAAGGCGAGACAAGCGGCGCTCTGTCTAATCTTCCCTGCTGTGGTTCTGCGGTGAGGCAGTAGTCTTGTCATCACTCAGGTGAGGTCGAAATGCACACAAGCTGCACTCTCTGAAACGCAGTTACCTGAAAGTCGGGTACTCTGGCCATCAGAAAACATGCATTTTATGTTGAAAATGTTGAATGCGTTTTATTTTCATTTAAATGAGCAAAGAACCGTAGAAGCTTTATCAAAGTATAGTTGTAAATCATTATCACGGATGCTGTGCAGCTATACACAGGATAAACGAAAAACCTTGTCAACGTTTTTAAATGGAAGTATATTATAAAACTTTCCAGTATTGCAGTTACTGAAACACTAAACTAACCGGAATTACACTAACCGTTGGATTATTTCTCCATTGAAAAAAAGAGTAAAATGTTGTTTTTCTCTATTATGTATAATATCAATAACATAAAATGCATACAAGAAAGAAATGAAATAGTGTAAAAAAGAAAAAAATTAAACATAACAAACGACCAGGAAAAGACAAACGCGAGGCTGCCACTTCTGCACAGTAGTGAGATCGATGCGTGTGCAGCGCCTTGGTCAGTGCTAAGCGGAGTCTCACCACCTTCCGGCGAAAGAGGGCACAACGGGTAGTCAGTGCAGAGCGCACAGCTCGCTGTGGCTTGGGCAGCATGAGAAGGAGGGGCGACGCTTTCGCTTGTAGGAGGGAGCTGTTTTAAACAGAGGACACTTCCTGCCTCCGAGCTCAGTTCCTGTAGCAGAGATCGGATAGGAGGGATGGCAGAGAATAGCTCCGATTTCAGCGGCTCCGGCTGCCGGAGGTGTTCCGTTCTTTCGCCGGGGGAGAGAGCGCAGATGCCTGGGATCGGGGACTCCAAGTGGGTCCGGCTGAACGTGGGGGGCACGTACTTCCTGACGACCCGGCAGACGTTGTGCCGAGACTCGAAATCGTTCTTGTACCGACTGTGCCAGGCCGACCCCGACCTCGACTCCGATAAGGTACCCGGGATTTGGAGCTGGGGGTCGGGGTGAAGGAGGGCAGCGCGGGTCGGTGGGTGGGAACCGTGGAAAGAAAGCAGCCAATGTGTCAGGAAGGACCTGGCAAAAAAAAGGAAAAATCAATCGATTAGCGACAGCTTTCCTTTTTGCAGCGAGGGGATGGTTTAAACGTGTGCGTTAATTAAAGTAAAACATGCTACAAACAAAAAATGCATATTTATTTCGACTGGAAACTTCAGTTTAAGACACAAACGGGAGCTGCAATATGGAAGACGATTTAAAGCGGCTTTGTTTGAGGGGAGAGAACCAGTCCCATTTCGAAGTATTTACTCGGCGAAACTTTTTTTTCCCCCAAAATGTTTTATTTGTCCTGTAACAGAACGTGAAGTTGCAACTGAAGCTCATTCACGGTTGAGTCTAGTTCCTCAGTCGCTTAAAACGAGGCTAGACCCTGCAGCCGTTTTTGTTAGTCCATTTCTCCAAGCGTGCTGTGGGAAGTGTCAGCTGTCAGTCCGCTCTGTGGCCGCCCGCATGTTGCGGTGTTTGTGTCTGAAGACGCTGTTGAAGCTCCGTGACGCTGGGCTGGGAGAAAGAAAGGGTGTGTAAGGAGACACGGCAGCGCCTCGAGTTGGGAAGACCTGTGGTGTCTCGGCGTCTGTAAATTCTTTCACTGCGCACATTTGTTTTTCGTGTGTTGCAAGCGAATTTGTAACTTTTCCAACGTCTTTACTGTTTAATCGAAATGTTCGTCTGGCCACGTAATAAGCACATTTTAAAAGTATCCGTCCAAATATTCATTCTTCTATTGACTTGGCTAGGGTTGGGGCTCTGTTGCTTAATACTAAAATACTACTCTGTTGGCGTATACGAAATTGTAGTATAGCAGAGAAAGAGAGTTAACCCCCGTGCAGGGTGTTTTTTTTTTCCGTGTAGTTCAAATGTGAATTTGACTAGCTTGTTTCCCTTTGCTGTGTGCGTGTAGCACACGACCTGAAGACGTGGCCAGCAATGCAGTGCCTGGCGTTTCTGACACCTTTGAATGTGTGTGCAGGATATGCGCTTAGGACGCTAAACTCGTGGTTTCCTCTTTTTGTCTCTGGAGTGGTAGAGGTGGTTTGCAGCAATTACGCCCCTGAAGCTGGGGGAGCTCTGTGCGAGATTGTGATGAAGGAGTTTGGGGGGTGCAGAAATGTTTACTTGGCTCTTTCTAGGATCTATTGCTGCTGCTACGATAGGGCTGACGGAGATACTGACCATCTCATCAATAATGTCCAACTCTGCACTGCCAGGCCCATGCCCAAAAGCCCAAGCACAGCACAGTAATTATTAATGAGCTGCTGTTGCTCTCCGATACAAGAGAGTCCTTGTTCAGTTTTAGAATATCCAAACTCGTCGGTTACAGTGGGCTGGACGCACAAATATGCAGAGCAATGTGGCTCTTACACTGGACAGACAGTACCAGGCAATTATTGTCCACCTTATCCCTAGTGTTCTCTGTAGTCATTTGCATTTCAAATGCGCAAGACCGCCTCAGCTTTTAATGATGGATAAATTCCTGCTTTACATAATTCCGTTGGGAAAACTCGGCGTGTTGGCCCTGGCGTTAGTTACAGTAAAATGGTATTAATGTTCAGCAGTGTCAAAAATGGAGCCCTTTTGTAAGGTTCCTTGAGGGTGTGTAAGACGTTGACTAAGCTGTTTACTCCAGCCTTTTACACCAGCAGATCAGTGAGGTGCCAGGACTGTCTTTCAGCGGCCGTGTGTCCACTGGACAGCGGCCGGCAGTGTCCGGCTGCCTTTATTATACTCCTGGGGTCTCAGTGCTGTGAATCCTCCTGGCCTGCGTGTTTTTTTTTGGGAGTGCATCGGAGTTTGGAAGCAGAAAAAAGGGCTACAGCAAGTCAGCTCCTGTTCCTTGTGCCAAAATTAGCGGGAGGTGTGGTTTAGGGGCTCAGCAGTTTCCTTCTGGGGTTTGGGAGAGGGTTCGATCCAGGCTTGGCAGAAATGTTAGATGTGTAATGGCGAGCTGGCTACTTCATCTGTCCCTCTGAGGTCAGACGGAATGATCTCAGGGCGACATCGTTTCTTATCGGTGTCCGTCTAATTGTTGCAGAATATTAACGGTACAGATTAACACTGAAATACTTGAAACCTGTGGAGCACCATTCTGTTCCTTAAACTTTGTTTGAGTGTGGTAAGGCTGAGAAGCTTCTGTATATTTGGATGTGCAGGTCACGGGACAGATGGTTGTAAGTTTGTGGAACAGACTGTCCCAGGGTATATCTGAAGATCCCGGATATACTGGCTGTTCCTGCAGAACCTTTTCCTATTTTCACCGCTTTGCATGCGTCCCGGAAAACCAGATCCCAAGTACGCTAGAACAGCTCGGGCAAAGATTTTCCCATTTCTGGTTGAGTGCATAGGGCCCATTGTGTAGCTCTTTCTCGAAGAAACTGTATCTGCAAACTTAAATGTTCCCAGACGGTCCCAGGAGTGCTAAGACATCGATCTGACTGGTCTCCAGGAGCAGAGCTCCGCGCAGGAGGTGCAAGATGCTGGGGAGTGCTCCTCAGGCACCACCGGGGAGTGGAGATGTTGACGCAAAGTGCCTGGATTGATTTTTAAATGTGAGGCTTTCCTGGAAAGGCTTGGAGTGGACAGTGGAAAAGCTGTTATGCATACCCCCCCCACACACTCTCGACCAGAATCCCTGGACAGCTTTGCGCCGTCATCGGCCTCTGTCTGCTCCCAATCCGATTGAGAGTACTGCGGCCGTTCCTTTCTGACTGGGGACTGCTGAGGTCAGCGACACCCCAGCTCCTCTGCCTGAGCGCGCAGTGACGCACCGTTCTGGCGTCCAGTCCCTGTGATGGTTTTTGTCTACGGTTTGTTTGTTTTTTAATCTGGGTCGATTATTTTTTTTTTAATTAAAGACTTAATACTGTGGTGCTGTTGGAGTCTGTTGAAGTCTGTGATAATTTTCACACCCCCCCGAGAATTAAGTGCATTGAGAATGTTTTAGTGTTTTAGACAGAGTAAATGTTTGGGTGTAGCCCCCTGGGCTGAGGGCTGACCTCCTGGCCAGAGGACGAGGAGGCTGGGACCCCCCAGTCAGAGTGAGGCGTGACCAAGGGGCAGCTGCAGAGGTGGAGATGGGGTGGAGGAGGATGAAAAAGATGAATGCGATGGAGAGAAAGGGCTGCCCTATGGTATTTGTTTATGTATATTCTTATTAGTGACAGTAAAATATATGAGTATTGTATTTCTGTACTGTATTGTAGTATTTATGATATATTTACTAATCGGGAGTGATTGCAATTTTGAACAGCTGGGGCTGATTGAAATTGGCTGTCGTCTTCCCTTTCAAACTTTTGTTAACTCTTTTTAAATCTTCACGCCTTCTGTCAGTCAGCGGCTGCAGACCTGGGGGGACGTGAGACCGGCGGCTTCTGTTTACCTCGTCCTTTGCATTTTGTGTCAGGGACTGGACTTGAGTACTTCCATCTTAGACCTGTGGTACTAAGCCCTTGTTCTGGGGCTCCCCTGAGACTGCGGGCTCTTGCTCCACATCTGTTACTCATCTCGGACTAAGTGATGTAACTTTTTATCTTTTTATTTATTTTATTTTTAAATTGTTAGGTTTGATTTCAGATTTAACGAGATTGATATCTGGTATCACCCCTGTATTGTTTCCGAATATCAGAGCTCCACTCATTCAGGAATTGTGCCTGAGATGTACTGAAAGCAGTTGACTGTTAGCAGGAGGAAAAACTGCTCATAGGAGGAGTGTTTGATACAAGAATTGGTCACCTATTAAGACAGGAACAATGATAAGCAAGCTAAGAAAAGACTGCTTCAAGTTCTCTGTTGCATATGTTGTTGGAAACAATCTGCTTGAAGAAAGATATTTTGAAACCTAGGACTGATCGCAGATCAGCACTTTAAACTTTTGATTTAACAAGCAACCAGATTAGTTAAAGACATCAATTATCCCTGGTGATTAAGATGCCATGAAGATCAGCAGACAAAGATGATCCCTGAGGACTGGGGCTGGGATCCACTGCCTTAGATGTTCTTGGGTGGAGATGTTGTCCACCTTGGTAAAGCTGCCGAGCAGAAGATGGGTTACAAATAAGAGGAGGCCATTTGGCCCATCCATGCTGTTAGGTAGTTAGTAGTTAATTGATGCAATATAGCGTCTTTAAGGAATTGGCTGTAAGAACATAAAGAGCAATGTCATTTTCTTAGTGCTTCAAATGAGAAATTCCACCTTGTCCAGGTATTGGTAATTAGTTTCTCTCGGGGTGGTACAGTAGTTGGTAAGCTTGTTGGGGCCTTTTCGGTATTGTGTGTTTTGCAAAGGGGCTGTGTCGAAAGTAGGGATGGGAATCTCTAGGTACCCCACGATTCGATTTCGAATCGGGGTGCCACAATGCAATTATAAATCGATTCTCGATGCATCTCGATACATGATGATTTTTTTTCTTACTGTGAGATAAGATAAAATTTCTTGCATTCGAAATTTCTTTTCGCGTACCCCAGCTTGCACTCCATGAGACACACAGGCACACAGACGGGGAGAGAGAAGCTTGGGGTCAGAGCGCAGGGTCAGCCATTTATACGGCACCCCTGGAGCAGGTGGGGTTAAGGGCCTTGCTCAGGGGCCCAACGGGGTAGGATTCCTCTGCTGCCCGCGGGATTTGAATGAGCAACCTTCCAGCCACAGGCCCAGATCCTTAGCCACAGTGCCACCACTCCGTCCGCTCTGTGTGACAGGAGTACACGAGACACGAGCTGCCATTCATTGGTGATGTAGTGAGCAGTATAGTGATATAGGATTCTGTTGCAATGGACGTCCACACATCACAGGTTATTGCCACCCAATGTGCTTTCTTCAATGATTCCAAAACTTGAGTTTTGGTGTTGTTGTAGAGCGTTGGTATTGCTGTTTCACTAAAGTGACGCCTAGACGGTATGTTGTACCTCGGCTCCAGTGTTCG